GTCCTACCTAGTATTTTCGTAGTCCTACCCAGGCCAACTCCAGAATCCAAGAGCACATCTGGGTGGTCTAGAGGCACTGGCCAGACCCTGAGAAGAGGGGCTAAGTGAGATGGGATTTGGGAGATGGTGCCACACGTCAGAATTCAGATGTGGAGGCAGCACTGAACAGGGAACCAGGAAACTAAGACTTCAGACTTTCTTTTCCCCAAAAAGGATGATCCAACAGAATGTGGAAATAATCAAACAATATCACATGCAAGCAAAATCTTGCTGAAGATATTAAAAAAAGGACTGCCAGAAATACAGGTTGGGTTTAGAAGATTGTACATCATTGCTGATGTCAGATGGATCTAGGCTGAAAACAGAGAGTATCAGAAGGCTGTCTATTTGTGTTTTATTGACTATGCAAAAGTAGTTGACTGTGTGGAGCACAACAAACTGTGGCTAACATTGAGAAGAATGGGATCCCTGAACACTTGATTGTGCTCATGCGAAACCTATACCTAGGCCAGGAGGCTGTTTTCTGAACAGAGCAGGGGATCATTGCATCGTTCAAATTCAGCAAAGGAGTGCATAGAGAATGAATTCCTTCTCCATATCTTTTCAATCTGTATGTGGAACAGATCATTCATGGGGCTGGACTTTATGAAGAAGACTGTGACATCAGGATTAGACTCATCAACAAACTGAGTTATGCAGATGGCACAACCTTGCTTGCTGAAACTGAGGAAGACTTGAAGTGTTTGCTGCAGAAGGTTAAGGTCTGTAGCCTTCAATATGAATCACATCTCACCAACAAGAAAACTAAGATCCTAACCACCAGGCCAATAGGCAGTATCATGATAGATGGAGAAAACATTGAGGTTGTTAATGATTTCATCTTGCTCAGATTGGCAATCAGCATTCTTGGCATTGTTGTTGTTGAGTGTTGTCAGGTCGAGTATGACTCATAATGACTCTACGAACAAAAGACCTACTGCTTTCCCATAACTATCGTAGTTTCTCCAAGTTCATAGAGTTTCCATAGGCATGTGGTTTAGGAAGTGGATGCCACTGCAGCTTTCAAACCTGTTTTACAACTGGGAGCTCCACCAAACACTGTCCACATTGGGAAACCATTATGGTATTTGATAACCCAATAGCACATTACAGAAAACCCAGGTTATTTCAGATAGCACATTGACAAAGAGTGATGTACAAAGTGGAAGAATATTCCTCCAGATATAACAACACTAGTCTCATTTAGCAGAGGTTAAGTGTTGTCTAGTTTAATAATACACATAAGACCTGAACTCTATTCTATAACTAACATAATTTCTGTACATTTACAGAGTTTACAGAGGCATCTAGTTTAGGAAGTGGATATCAAAAGATGAATTGCACTGGGAAAATCTGCTGTCAGGGACTTCTCCAGAGGGGTAAAAAGCAAAAATGTCAGACTACAGACTAGGGTACACCTGATCAATTATTTGTTATCCATTTAAGAGCTGGACAATCACTAAGGATGACCAAAGAAGAATTGATACCTGTGAGCTGTAGTGTTGGAGAAGAGCATACCATGGATAACCAAGAGAGCAAACAGGTCTGTCCTGGAGATGGTGAAACCAAGTGGCTCCCTAGAGGCAAGGATTTTGAAGCTTTTTCTGAAATACTTTGGGCATGTTGCCAGGAGAAGCCAGTCCTGGAGAAGGACATCATATTTGGAAGAGTAGTGAGTCAGCCCAGGAGAGGAAGACCCTGGATGAGATGGATTGACACCGTAACTGTGCCAATGGACTCCAGTGTGTCTGAGACAATGAGGTTAGCTCAGGATAAAGGTTCAGAGCCATTGTTCATAGTTCACTATGAGTCATAGTCACCTTGAAGGTGACAGCACATAACAACCACCCAGTCATTTGATTGGAGTTATAAAGACTATGGTTTAGAAGAATTATGGTAAATAATTCACAGCAACAAACAAGTTCATAGAAAATGGAGTAAATATAGGGTATTCTCCACTACTTGTCTACCAGTTTGTCATACTGTTGTGGTTTGGGTGTTTCTGTGATGCTAGAAGTTATGTTACTGGAATTTCAAATACCAGCAGGTCCAATCATGGCTGGCAGGTTTCATTAGACCTTTCAGACAAAAAGACTAAAAAGTAAGACTAAGATTGTGTGGATGTTACAGGATCAGGCAGGGTTTTATTCTGTTATACGCAGGGCCATTATACTGTGAGTCCACTTGACACCTTACAGTGCTTAAACCTGAGATGATAAGGAGTTTTGGGAGGAATCTGGGAGATACATTGAGGAAAGTTTTAAGGTTAGTTGACCAAAACTAAAAGATCTTTGAAGTTGGAAGTAAATTCTCATGATTATCCTTGTCAGCTAATTAATTTTCCTATTTTCTATTTGTTAAATGTAGAAGCTGGGACAAGAGGATACTTGTGTTGATTCAAGAATTTCAGTTTTAAAAAAAGAATTTCAGTTTAACAAGCTGAATATTAAAATAAAATAAAATTGAATGTTTTAAAGTATTAGAAGTGCTGTAAATGTTGACTAATGATTAAATACCTATCTTCAGATTAATTGTAGCATTTTTCTACTGCACTATAGAAATTAGGGAAAATCTAATGAAAAATGTCTATGCAGTGAAGACCAGCTTGTACAATGTCAAAGGACAAAGATTATCACAATACAAGTGGATCTCCCTGGCAGCACAACCTTAATTTCCCTGGAGGGAAATTAACTTTTTCATCATGGAGCACATTGAACTCCATCTCCAGCAGAAGCCAAGGGGATGTTTATAGAGCTCCCAATTAACAGTGGTCAATTACCTAATAGCCTCAAGGTTCTGCTCATAACGTGTACATTATCCTGCTGAAGGAGTAGGAGGATTAGCTTCCAAGTACTTCTGCCAGAATGCTAAAAGAACAGCCAGAGGGCCTGGGCTGGTTGACACATTTTTATACTACATGTTATTATAGCGTTGATGAAAGAATACTTTCTTCTTTGGAAATTGATGCTTTCCTCATCTTGTAAAGTTCTTTAAAAACTCTGGAGAGTTTTGATTGTTTTTGCTCTAATTATTATTGTCGAACTGTAGCTTAGCTGATGTGTATTTTAGGGCTAATTGGCATTTATAAGGATGCTCTCTCTGCAAGTAGTAGTACCCTTTGAGAGGATCCTAGAGAAAGTCAGTGACTTTATGGTATTAGAATTTCTGTGTTTCCGTGACTGTTGTTAAGGAAGGAAAAACTTACTTCAAGAAAATACAGTTTTGCAGTTATAACTCATTTGAAAGAGATAGGGTTCTGATAAAGTGCTAGAGGATTCCTAGACCTTACCTTCCAGTAGGCATAAACTATTAGTATTAATGTGAGAGGATGGGCATCATGAAGAAATATAGCCTATCCGAAATGATACCCAGGAGCTGTAGGTTTGGCTTGTCTCTACCATTGATCAAAATGTTGAATGACTTTACAGTATCTTTTAAATCCTCTCAATTAGAAATTACTAGAACCATCTTAAGACTCATTCCTATTTTTGAAGCAGTAAATAGTAAAACTAGCCTCCAGTAGGTGTCACAGGAATGCCTGGATCATTAGAAGATACTTTGTTGTTTGGCTTCTGACTCAGTCACCTCATGGGTTAACTGGCAGGTCATCTATAATTTCTAAAATGCTGAATTGAACTTTTAGACCATTTTTCCCCCTACTAATGACTCACTAGGTATAGAAGACCAAGAAGCTGCTGTGTGCTCAGAAAGAATATTAACATTGGGAACATCATCATTTGTCATGGCTAGTGAGGGAGTGTAAGAAAGGCATACACAGCTATGTGGTCAATAATAAAAACACTTGGAAAAGGAATCCCAGTTTTAGGATACAGGCAATATAAAGTTCATCCAATTGTAGAGTAGTAGTTGAGGAAAGTCCAAAGGTTTTTGCCCTTTTCATATTCAAAGATATACTAGTAATAAAACACCCTTCAGAGAATAGGAACTTAGTGAGTTATGGTTTGACACTCAGTTAAAACAGACAAGAAGAGATTGTTTGCCAATCATTTATTTTTAAATTTTCAGAGTCCAAATATTTCAACAAGCGTTCCTACAGTAGTATCAATAGACCTTAAAGGAATCTAAGTTGATATGTCTTGTCAAAGGCCTTCAGGAATGTGCCCATCTGGTCACTCATTTTCCCATTTTCTTCCCCTAACACACTTGATGTAATCTCTTATTGGGCCTAGAAGAAGACAGATGTTTTACAGGTTCCCTATCAGCTAAAATTAACAAAGGCAGTATTATTCTTCTACTCTAATTAGAAATTAGGAGAAGAGAACTGAGCACTACAGACTATAGCAGACAGTTTCAAAATTTTAATTCTGGAGTTGTTAGAGAAACACTTTGCTTTTTCTTCACGAGGCTTTACATACTCAAGAAATTAAACATTTTTTTAAAAAATAAAAACCTCAATGTATTAGAATCCTAAGTCCTTAAGCATTTTTTCTTGATGCAGATTTTACAGGATTTTTTTTTTTTTTTGCAGAAGTTACTCCATCAGCACTACTCATGAGTGGTAGTAAAAATAATTCAGTCTCCTGAACCCCACAGTATTTATTTATACTAAATAAACTACAATGGAGGTGGTGCTAATTGGAGGTTGACTAGTAAAAGTAATTTAGGTCCAAGGGGGGGGAAATAAACTTGAGGATTAAAAACATAACTTTAAAAACGAAATTCTTCAAAAGATGAGCCTTCTTTTGATTCATAAATCAGCATATTTGTTACTTTTTAGAGCAATGAACTTGTTCCTCAAACAACCTCCCTACACAAGTTAAAGGTTTTTTTTAAATGCACACTACATTAAAGAACTACTTAAGAAAGGATAAACATGAAATGAGTGAAGTTTAAGATTTCAGAAGGAAAGACATTCTAACATCAGAGTTTCCCCACACCCAGAGTTTTCCATTTTCCTTTGCTCCAAGCTTTGGTCGTTGTCAATATTTTGGCATCATTTCTTAAGGGCGGTATTGAGATCTCTGCTCTTGGATGTACTCATAGAGGGGGCTGGAGCGCACTGGGGCACTGGCAAACTGACGCTTGCCCTGGTCTTCCTGCTGGAATTTCCTCTCCGTCTCCAGACGGCGTTTCTGCTCTTCCTCTTGGCGCAGTTCTTGCTCCTGGCGGCGCCTCTTATCCCGGGAAAACTGCTCGTCAGCGCGGTACTGCCGGTCTCGCTCCTGCCTGAGCCTCTGCTCTTCGTGCTCCTCACGCCTCTGCTGCTCTTCTTCCTGGCGGAACTTTCTGTCCTGTTCCCTGCGGAGCAGTTTCTCTTCCTCTTGCAACTGGAGGTTCTGTTCTTCCTCTAGGAACTTGCGGTCTCTTTGCCGCCAGCGCTTCTGTTCTTCCTCCTGCTCTGTGCGTCTCAGTGGTTCTCTCCGAGAGAAATCACCTTCTAAATCTTGGCGGCGCAGCTGCTGCTCCTCTCGTTCCTGGCGGAGCAGTTGCTCCTCACGGAATTTTCGGTCTCGCTCTTGGCGAAGCTCTTGCTCGGGCTCCTGACTGCGCAGCTGGTCTTCTGTGCGGAACTTTCGGTCACGCTGCTGGTGGCGAAACTGCTCCTCCTCGTGGAACTTTCTGGCCCGCTGCTGGCGGCGCCACTGTTCCTCCTCACGCTCCTCATCATCGCGGAACTTTCTGTCCTCATCCTGGCGGCGCAGCTGCTGTTCTCGTTCACGGCGGAACTGTTCCTCTTCTAGGAACTTTCTGTCCCTCTGGTGGTGACTCAGCTGCTCTTCCTCGCGGAATTTTCTATCCCTCTGCTGGCGGCGCCACTGTTCCTCCTTGCGCTCCTCACGCAGCTGCTCTTCCTCGCGGAACTTTTGGTCGCGCTCCTGCTGGCGCAGCTGTTCCTCCTCCTGGAATCGTCTGTCTCGGGACTGCTGGAAGCTCTCTTCTGGGAACCTCCTGTCTCTTTCCTGGTGCCCTCTCTTCTCCTCTCGTTCTTCTCTCAGCTGCTGCTCTTTCTCTCTGAACTTCTGGTCTCGCCTTTTGGCTTTCTCTTGCTCTTCTCGCTCCAGTGGGTCTTGGAGCTGAACTTCATTGCGAAATTGCTGCTCCCTGTCTCGGCGCTGCGGCTTCTCCTCCTCCCTATACTGCTGGTCACAGGCTTGGCGTCTCCGGTCCCCCTGCAGTTGTTCCTCGTCCAGATAGCGCCTGTCCCGCTGCTGGCGTCTTCTCTTCTCCTTCTGCAGCTCTTCCTCTTCTTGCCGCAGCTGTTCTTCCTCCCGATATTGCCTGTCCCGCTGC